ATGTAGTCCAGTTGTCGAGACTCACGTGGAGAGTACTTGTCAGAAGGAGAGCTTAACGAGAAAGTGAGCGGTTTATGGTCCGTGAAAAGAGTGAATTCACGACCTTCGATGTAGTGTTGGAAATGCCGTACAGCACAATACATAGCTAGGAGTTCCCTACCGAATGTGCTGTACCTCGATTCGGTGTCTAGCAACCTTCTAGAGAAAAATGCCAAGGGTTGCCAGGAGTTGTTAACCCATTGTTGTAAGACTCCTCCGATTGCCGAGTCGGATGCGTCTACTGCGATGCTAATGGGTGCTCGGGTGTCCTGATGTGCGAGCATCGTTGCTTTAGCAATCAGTTCCTTAACTGTGGAGAATGCTTTTCGTGCGGTGTCGTCCAAATTAATGGATTTCGCATTTCCACGAAGTTGGTCGGTCAGAGGTTTCATAAGTAATGCGCATTTCGGTATGAAACGTCTATAGAAACTTACCAGGCCGTTAAACGTGCGTAATTGCTTGACGGTGGTCGGTTCTGGGTAATCCAGAATGGCCGCCACTTTGGTCCTAAGAGGTCGAATGCCTTGAGCATCGATAGTGTGTCCTAGGAAGTCTAACGAGTCGGTTCCGAATTGGCATTTCTGAACGTTTACAGTTATGCCATGTTTTTGAAGTCGTTCGAAAACAAGATCCAGATGCTTGAGATGTGTTTCTCTGTCCGGACTTGCGATTAGACAGTCGTCAACATACGCGTGTACGAAGTTGAGACCTCGAAAAACGTCGTCTATGAATCTTTGGAATGTTTGAGCAGCATTCCTTAGACCGAAAGGCATTCGCAAAAATTCATAGAGTCCGAAAGGAGTTATGATAGCTGTTTTCGGTATGTCGTCAGTAGCCATAGGGATTTGGTTATACGCTTTAACCAAGTCGATTTTCGAAAAACAGTTGTACCTTTCAAGGTAGCTGTCAAATCGTGAATGTGAGGCAACGGGTAACGATCGGGAATGGTTTTCGCGTTCAATCGCCGATAGTCACCAGTTGGACGCCAATCGTTGCTGTCCTTTTTAGGGACCATGTGCAACGGAGATGCATATGGGCTACTTGACGGTCGTATGATTCCTAAGTCCATCATGTGATCGAATTCGTTTTTCGCTAACCTTAGCTTTTCAGGAGCTAGTCGTCGTGCTTTAGAGAATACAGGTGGTCCTGTAGTCGTGATGTGATGTGTAACATTGCTGGTTACACACGGTAGTTTCGGTTGAGTTTGTTGTATCCCAGGGTACTTATCGAGTAGTGGTTGATAGAGTGGGTCTATCATATGTTTAACTGTGACTGGGGATATGTAGTGGCATTGGACAATAGCTACACAATCCACAAAGCTGTGAACACGAGACTACTAAAAAAATAGGTATTCAATATTTAACGCGGAGAAATACCTAACAATGGAGAAGGCGCGAACAATGAATTGAATGGACTGGGGTTGATCGAGTGGCATGGCTCGGCCATGCAGGCGTGGTCTCTGCTGGATGTTATCCTATATCTCATTCATATTAAATATATTGTTCTTTCTCTATCCTAACCTTGTTCCTCATCAGGTATTGGTAATTGATACGATACAGTGAGTTCGTGTAGTCAATGGTGTGACTTCCACGTAAGATCTTATAGATTAGGCAGTTATATCATGACGAATCTACAATTTTGGGATTAGGTCTATTATTAGAGCAGTACTAATATCATAGTAGACCATAGTTCTACATTGGTGAGCCCAACTAAAGAAACGCAACCTATTATTATTAATCCTTATATCCACTTAAACTTTCTCAATCGATTTTATATTTATGTTAACCCTGTATTCCAATAGTCCTCTGATTAATGCTCACATGCATCATTGTAATGTTATCTTGATTAGTCCTCATGACAAACTAGCTCAATCGATAATAAAAACTGGTCGTCTATATTAACTAATTAGCTTTGATGGTTTGTTAACAAACTATAATAGCATTTACATGCTTCAGCGACATAGTCTTGTTTAAACATCAAGCTCTAGCAAATATGACCTGTAAATAGCGTAAATATACATTGACTAACAATGCGATCAAGGACTAAATAGTTATCTGGATTTAATTCTCAGTGTTCCTTTACTTAACTCCTCATCCTGTTTTAAACTATGCACTATCCTGTAATATCTTTTCTTCTGACCACTGCCTGCCTAATTTCATATTCTCGAGTTCCATTGCCAAACAACAAGGATGACACTTCTCCAAAAAATACGGTGAGTTCCATCTATAAGTTTTCTGCAATCATAAGTTCATTTTAGATGGCTCATTCGATGGCACACACAATTATCTGGATTCATCCAGTTGTTCCGATCAGAGCGAGTCCCAAAAACCTCAACAGCATCAAGCACCCTGGAAGTGATTGCCATACTGCCCTTTTTATTCTGGATGCTTTTGGATCAATACTACTCACGAATGGCGTTATATATGTCGTCCACTGAATAATCTAATTATCAAAAATAATCCAGGCGAGTTCAACTATTTTACTGGATGATTTTTTTGTACTTAACATGTATATGTTTTTCAGTTGCTTTTGCCATATATTTGTAAGTGTCCCTAGGTTAAATGCAGTAACTTCTTATGGAATGTTTATAACGCGTCATATTCCTGCCTGAAGTTTCACAAGCAGTCTTAACTTGGAATTTATTTATCTGATCATGTTCATTATTTTTAAATTGTCATATACGTCAACAACCTGCTTGTCAACCTAGCCCGCACATACGTTACACTATATCTTCATGTCTTCTAAATTTAGGAATCATCTGAATCGCCTTTAACATTTATCAATAAACCCATCATAGTCGTTGTCGCTAATCGTATTTGGCTTTATGGATTGGTTTATATTAGCAGCCTAAAATGCGAACATAGTTTAGATAATAAGATTAAAAGTTTAGGTACTATCAACTGCACTAGTGAAATAACTAAATCCCTAGGTGGCTGTTGGCTAAACAAACGTTTAAAATCAAAACTCCGTAGCCTACTAGAATGAACACTAAACGAATGCTTCTGAATTGAAATTTATAATTAAATTAGGCGTCTCGGATTCTTTAACGTTATAAATATCTGATGATTTTGAATCACCTAAAGCAACAATACCTATTTTTCCACTGACTAATCCTTAATCAACACTATAACTAGTTAAATTTAATAGTTTCAGGATATCGTCATAAAGCATTGTCATGACTTGACAATCACGTAATATGACTGATAAAATTAATGAAACTATTAACGAAATCGGTCAACAAATTGACTTATAATTACCATTAAATGGTGTTGTTTTCTTGGTATCTTCATCCATCACAGATGATTACAGTATGTTTCTCTATCAGTTGCTCATTCAATAAATATCTCAAAACCTTGTCAGTCTAATTGATGGTTTAGCGACACAATCATGCATGCAAATAATCAGTATAAGCAGTCGAGCAAATCTCCTGCAAACTGAAAACATCAATGTCGAATTTGCCCCAACACTGACTAAGGTTCAAGCCATTATCATGGACATGAGTTGGGAGTGTACTCCCCCTGGTTACAACTTATGTTCTCCCTGATAATCACATGAGCATCACTCACTATTAATCATCTTGTAAAAACTTATTTAGCTAAATACATTTTGCAGCACCACATCACTTCGTAATATGACACAGGTCTAACTGATTTTAATAACTTGTAACCACTATATCTCAATTAAATCGTGTTCCGCCTTATGATAAACTGCATACTTGCAACTAACTTGTATGTCCAATCACTCGGCAAGTATAAATACAAGTAAATAGTCTGCCACAGATCAGAACATTGAGTCTAGAGCATGTCTCTTACGAATACGCTCATGTTTAACGATTTGTTCCTAGCTATCTGTCCAAAATTCATATAATCATCACTCACGTATTTAAATTTTATTTTGGTAACCATTCATGTGTATTAGTAGTATTACCAAATTCTATCACGGTCAAGTAAAAATGAGGTTGAGAAAATCTTCCCGTAACTAAATAAACCGTACCAAACTAACTGGAACACTAGTTGGAATTCTTTACCATGGTAATACTTTTGTTCCTTTAGTTAGCCTACTGATACAGATGCAATTGGAAATCAACTCTTATGGACAACTTACCGGCATAATCGTTATCCGATTTCATAATTTAAACCAAAACTAATACCAATATTAACATTTCTACAATATTCATTATTTTAATATTTCTAAACACAAAATAATTACTACCTATAAGTTAAGTTATTAACGCGCATCGTTTTATTATTATTATTATTATAATCTCATTTTTTATAGTTCAAATAATCTTCACCCAAATTTTCATTTCAAGCGTTTTAAGCATGAAGGCAGATATTTTAAAATTATTACATGTATTTCCCGACCAGATGCTGCCGCCTACTTTTTGATTTATCTTTCAGCTTACCAATACCCGGAGGATTCTTATTATCCTTGGTAACCTCCGGCGCGCGACGATCCAATTTGGTATCGAACCAACATCACGTTGATTCTGGTGGGAGAGTAGTGTAGTGGCATTGGACAATAGCTACACAATCCACAAAGCTGTGAACACGAGACTACTAAAAAAATAGGTATTCAATATTTAACGCGGAGAAATACCTAACAATGGAGAAGGCGCGAACAATGAATTGAATGGACTGGGGTTGATCGAGTGGCATGGCTCGGCCATGCAGGCGTGGTCTCTGCTGGATGTTATCCTATATCTCATTCATATTAAATATATTGTTCTTTCTCTATCCTAACCTTGTTCCTCATCAGGTATTGGTAATTGATACGATACAGTGAGTTCGTGTAGTCAATGGTGTGACTTCCACGTAAGATCTTATAGATTAGGCAGTTATATCATGACGAATCTACAATTTTGGGATTAGGTCTATTATTAGAGCAGTACTAATATCATAGTAGATCATAATACTACAGATACTCTACAACCAGTAAAAGAAGTTACGCAAACGGACAAATTAGTGTTTCCGTCTACTAGCCTCCGTTTGCGCGTGTCGATGATCAGATTGTGGTGTTGTAGAAGGTCCATACCAATGATTGGCATAGAAACATCTGCAACAACGAAAATCCAGTGGATGGGTTTGCGTAAACCCACGTTAAGGTAAACGTACCTTTTGTAGGATCCAAACTACGGTTTGGATGTTGAAGAATAGCCGACAGGGGGTTTTAGACACGCGCCCTTTCCCGTCGAAATCAGAACAAGTAATCGGGTAACTAGCGGTTCTATAATTCATAATAAATTTAATGTAAATCATTACCTAAACAAATATTATCACCCGGCTATTCAACCAATGATTGTTCAATCAATTAAATCTAAATTACAATAAATAAAGAAGTTGATAGAAGATGAGGAAAAATTACCAATCACAACAAATCAACGTTATTCTATCCTGGCTGGATAGATCACACACACAACAGGAGGAACAAATCAATATGGCTACCGCCAAGAACAAGTGTCAAGTAAAACAACGCAGATGCAGTTCAGGAAGAAACACAAACTTAGTGAATGCGTAATAAAAACAAAAACTATAACAAAAATACAAATATTAACAATTCAAATGTAATCAAAATACAACAATGTACAACTAATGCGATCAATAGGAATAAAGTACAAGTATATACATGGAGGGATTTTCACCAACACATAAAACCTTCAAAATGGATCTTACACCGGCCCCCAAAATCCCTCCATACCACACAAGCTACCTTGACGCCTACGGTCATGGTTCATTATATAACATATCACACCATAGGAACGAGTAGGACTTACAACAGTACGCCTACTCGACCTAACTACATTAATAACAACAAAGACTAATCCAAAGCTTCAAGGAGACCTGCTTCACCTGTTCTCTGGTGATCAACAATAACAGTCGTGATATAGGCCTAATCACTCTTCCCCAAACTCCACCCATGCTGTTGGATGAGGGCCTCGCTGACAATTCAATGTTTATCTTCTGATTCGACTGCTGCACAAACTTGCTTAACTCAAAAACTGTCCCCACGAAGCTTGACGCACTGACACTGTAAATCTCTGGAGGTTTCCTTCTTCTTCCAATAAAACGTAATAGAGCCATTAAAAATGAATCAGTAATCAAATTACACATCATTTCAATATGTACTGCCCATGTTTGCAAACAAGTAAACACATATCCATACCCTTTTTCTAATGATCTTCCTATGTGTCCTTGTTCTTTATGACAATGTCTAACTATCATTTCCGTCACTAAGTGTCGACTGGGTAAAATTACTGGATGTTTAAAAGCATTTGGGAAATCTGAGTATCTTAGTCGACCTCCAACGCAGAGTAACCCATCAAGCATCATCAACGATAAACCTTTCAGATCATCATGGCTTACTACTTTACTACTGTTCTTAAATTCACTAAGTAATTCTCCATACACTTCTCTCTGGACCATCAATAAAATCTTACGCTTGGCAATCTCAAGCTCTTTGACCTTTAAACATCCTAGATGAACGGATCCTTCACAACTCGGTAAACGAAGTACCATCAGGAATTCGATGAACCTTCTAAACCAGGTTACAGCTCTGACTAATTTCAACCACTCGGAATAATAAGAGAGAACAGGTGTCTTGTTGTACTTTATACTACTCAAGTTAACCACAGCAGTTTTTCTAAACTCAATATCGTCAAGAGTAGGTTCCGTACAGTCAGTGATTGTTATATAAAATTCGCCATGCAATAAAATAGGACATTTGAACCAAGATTCAAGATCGGTCATTTTTTGTATACTTCCTCTACATAATAATTCACTTATATGCTTAACGAAACTCTTTGCTTGATCACAAGTGGGAATGGATATCAAGCAATCATCAACATAGAAATTATTCTTGACATCATCTACAACATAACCATCATAACCGTTAGAGAATATTTGGGCCGTCTTATTCAGGGCAAGGTTCGCGCAAAATGGCGAGGATGTGGCATCAAATGGATGGGATGTCATTTGAAACTCGGATGATTCCCTCGACATGTCTCCCTCTTGCCACCACAGAAATCCTGAAGCTCCTCGATCAGACTCAGGGACCTTCACTTGCATGAACATTTCTTCAACATCTACAGGGATTGCAACTGCCTCCTTGCGAAAACTTATTAATATACACCTTAACTCAGCAGTGGTATCGGGTTCTTGATAAATCATATCATTTGGGGGACCCCCTGCAAACTGGGCGGCACAATCAAGGACCACTCTAAGATCTGGTTTTTTCATGTTTAATACTGCACGATGAGGTAAATACCATCGAGGGCGATAATAAGATTGCAGATATATTTCAAAGACCCTCTCCGCATAAGTCTTAGTAAAATCACTTTCAGTACTTTTGATATACTTGATGTGCAGACTGACATCCTTCGACAACATACCCTTCAAACTTTGTAATCTACGGTTTGCTACTTCATAGTTATCCACTTTCATATCTGGATTCTTTTTCCAAGGTATAGAAACTACAAAATGACCGTTGCCGAAGCGCGTGCCACCTTCCACAATCTTTATAGCCATCTTGTCGTCTACTGATAATGATTTATCACTTGAATAAGCATCTGAAAACTCTACGTCATAAGGCTTACGTATTTCGTTCTCTAATGTCTGTATCTTACTGGTATGATTAACAACTCTTTTCCTATATTCCGGGCATGATGGCTTATCATTTACGACGTTGCTTGTCGAGTCAGTGTGCAGCAGAGCGTGATGTCTCCTCTCGCAACTGTCAACCTTACAGAGCCTTGTCATCTTACATTCATTAACCTTATGTCCTTGTCTAAGACAGACGAAACAGATACCCTTGCTTTTAGCGTGAGACCATCGGTCTTGCACTGTAAGCGCTAAGAACTGTGGACATTTATCAATGGCATGGTCGTAGGAACACATACTACATTTAGTTTTCATTGTCGAACTATTCCCTTGCTCTGATTGCACGTGACAGTTCGTCTTTACGTTATGTCCTTTTCTAGAACGGTTTGCTAACCGTCCAAATCTACTACAAGCCACTCTCGCACGCGATGCGATAAACTGAGTGAGCTCGTCGAAGGTCGGTTCCTGTTATCTTCAGTCAATTTATCCACCCAGTCCGCCCACTGGGCTTGCATAGGTTGAGGCAAGAGTCTCACTATTCTTTCCAAGGTAACTAAGGAATTTAGATCAGAAGTATAATTCATCTGTTCCAAGACCATGGCACAGTTTTCCATCTTAATAGCCAAATTTGATAGTTGGTCCCCGTCAATATACTCAAAATTCACAGCACTGAATAAGTCCTCTAGTGTTTCTCGAGCAATTACGTGAGGCTGTCCGAAAAAACGTTTTAAAATCTCCCTTGCTCTTTTATAGCCAGAGGATGCCTCCATCATGACGCAACCTTCAATAGCTGTTTTAGCCTTGCCCTTACAGTAGTGTATCAAATAGAGTAAGCGCTGGCTATCATCCGTGACTCTTGACGCTACATACGTCTCAAATTGCCTTATAAATTTCCAATAACCTCTTGGCTCTCCATCGAAATAACTCAGTTCAACCTTTGGTAGCTCTGGGCCAACAACATGGACTATAGGCGACATGCTCTTTCCTAGTAATTCAGGCCTTTGCTCCTCCCTTAAACTAAGATTTTTTACATCAACTGACATCGAATTAAGGCTAGAATCACTGCCATGATAATTAACCCTATTTAAGTCTGAACCATGACCCTTAAGGACGTCAAAAGGCACTTGCTTGACAATAGGGGATTCTTCGTTAACATCGACGAACTTTGAGCCTGATCTCCTTCGACGATTAACTGGCATTATAAGCGACACGACCAATTATTTCCAGAAAATCCGTGAACGATTACCAAAGGATTTCGACCAAGTAATACTTGTTTAGAACTGTAGGATCCAAACTACGGTTTGGATGTTGAAGAATAGCCGACAGGGGGTTTTAGACACGCGCCCTTTCCCGTCGAAATCAGAACAAGTAATCGGGTAACTAGCGGTTCTATAATTCATAATAAATTTAATGTAAATCATTACCTAAACAAATATTATCACCCGGCTATTCAACCAATGATTGTTCAATCAATTAAATCTAAATTACAATAAATAAAGAAGTTGATAGAAGATGAGGAAAAATTACCAATCACAACAAATCAACGTTATTCTATCCTGGCTGGATAGATCACACACACAACAAGGAACAAATCAATATGGCTACCGCCAAGAACAAGTGTCAAGTAAAACAACGCAGATGCAGTTCAGGAAGAAACACAAACTTAGTGAATGCGTAATAAAAACAAAAACTATAACAAAAATACAAATATTAACAATTCAAATGTAATCAAAATACAACAATGTACAACTAATGCGATCAATAGGAATAAAGTACAAGTATATACATGGAGGGATTTTCACCAACACATAAAACCTTCAAAATGGATCTTACACCTTTTGCCATACGTAACGATCGGTTTTCCGTTTGCCGCCTGTAAGTTAAAAGCCGATTCCTGAACCCGGTCGTTAGGATTTGCTGGGAGAACGCTAACTTCTGCGCCAGTGTCGACGAGGTAGCGAACTCTCGTTGTCACATCTGTGACGAATAACAGACGGCTTTGTTCGCCGGCTACGGTTGCCGTTAACGCGTGCCGGCTTGGAAGTTTCCCGAATTGCTTTTCGAATCAGTCGGTTTCGTGTTGGGAAAATTGCAGGGTTTTCTGCAATTTCTGGAAAACTTTCCATACTGGTTATGATACCAGCACCAGTCGGGGTTATCTGTCTCTCGTGGTCTAGAGACAGATCGCTTACGAGAAATGCTTCTACATGGTGTGCGCGATCTCTTACGGTCGGTACGAAGACTAAGATAACGCGTGAGTGTGTGACATAAGTCGTTTATATCATTCTGAGTCGTTTGAGGTTTTTCTTTGACTGAAAATACCTCGGTTGTAGATTTCGTAATTTCTAAAATGCGGTCGGCAGATGCAGCTAGCTCGTCTAAGGCGTTGTTCTGGAACGAGACCAGAACTGCTTGCACCTGTTGGGGAAGTTTTGACAAGAAGAGTTGTTTGAATAGGCCTTCGTCGAAAGTTCTTGGGCCTATTACCTCTCTCATTCGTTGCAACATGTCCGTCGCAGAACCGTGTTGCAGGTCGATATTGTTGAAGAGTTGATCTAACCTTTGTCGATCGGTTAGGTCTCCTCGTTTAAGAATCGAGCGTTTTAAGATTTCGTAAGGATCGGAAACATCACTAGTAAACATACTAGGTGTTACGTACCTGTTGAATTCGCGCGGTAGTGCCTTGACTACTGCGAGGAATTGAGCACGTGTGTCGATCACGCCGTGCTCGGAGAAGTCGGCTTCTGCGTAGCAAAACCAGGCTTCGATGTTGTCGGGCCAGAAAGGCATCAGTTGAAACGAAGGCGGGGACAAAGTCTTTAGCTTGAGTACTTTAGGTGTCTGTTCAGTCATGATGAAGTATGAATTATGATAATAACGAGGGGAAAATATATATATCCAGGAAAAAATACTAAAAAAAAATCACAATGTTCAAAAAAAAGTAAAAAATAAGGCAATGATATATAAAAATCCCAAAAAGGAACAGACTCACAGTTACAATTAGGTGTACCAGATCACGTCGGCTTCACCAATGATGATGTCACAGGTATTCAGTGTTTGACAACGCTTCTACCAGTAACACCTAATATATTTCGTTCCCGCCCAGAGAAATCAAAAGACAGAGTCGAGGAGATCGGAAGAGTATATTTGGCGATGACCAATATATCGGAATTCTCTGATCTAATCTGGCTAGCGATTGCGGTTGATGTTGAGCACGGCGTTACCACACGTGATCTGGTGCGGATGCATGACCGAGAGCCTTCAGCTAGATGAGTCCACTAAAACATATGGTCAGCATCCAATGTCGAAAACTTAGTGCTATTTATTTTGGGGATTTATTTACCGCTACAAGATAATTCGGGTTAGGTTGCTAAGCCACATAGATTCACACAATCTGTTAGCTTCTGAGCAACATGAATTTCGTAACAATCCTTCATGCTTGACTCTCTTACTTATTGCGAGCCTTCCTTCTCTACGTTAATGAGTTACCACTGTTGCTTAGGTCGTCGACATTATTGTTTGCGGATGACCTAAAAATCTGGAGAACAATAAAAAAGAGGCTGATCATCTGGATCTTCAAGCTGATTAGACGATTTAGTTAGATGGACTCGAGGTCGAGGTTTAGAAATCAATGCTAGGAAGAGTGTGCTGATGCACTATTGATCTCTAAGGTCATAGCAAGAAGGTTCATAAACCAAAATCTAATAAACTTAAAGTGGGGTCCCGTTTTTCACATCGAGTAGTCAATGATTGGAACGCCTTACCCGAACAAGTGGTATCAGCCCCATCAGTGAATGTTTTCAAGGAGAAACTGGACCTTCACTGGAAGGCAATCTGTCAGGATTAACACAGGTTCATCAACCTACTATCCTTATTACTGAAGACTGAATCTGTCACTTTATGGTTAATCTACAAATGTGGAACAGATCATTTATTCAAGGAATGGATATAAACAAATATTATATAACATCGTAAATTTCTATAAATATCGAGACATGGGACCGAAGAAACAACAATATTTACCTGTCGCACTTGTAATTGGTGTTCATTGAACACCGTTCTCCCGCGCGACACAAGTGCTTCAGTTGTTATCGCTTGTTAGGTAAGTTTGATAATGCCCATATACGTTTTTACTAAACAATGGTGTTTTTCAAATAGTTTGATGCGTTTAGAAACCCCGTCGGACATTAAAGTCATTCGTAAAACTCGAACTTTAGAATTATTCATCCCATCGAACAGCAGGAGTTTGGGGTAAATATTGGTTACATGCGTTGAATTTGTTGTGGATATCGGCAAAAATACATCGACTTGTCTTTTGCACCAATCGAGGAAAATAGGGAGTATTCATACCAAAATTCTCTCTTTGAGCAGAGTTACCGAAATAAACACCCAGCTTTTAGCTTCAATCAAAAGCGGCAAGACTATAATTTATGGACGAACGAATCAGATACAAGATAACAAGTTACGAATTCGGGCGCGGAATTCATCTATACATTTGGCTAAATAGAGTTTTGGCATTATAGCTGATGTCACTTCTTGGTGAAAACTCTGGATCTAATTTTTAACCCTTACCATCAACTGTAAATGAGAATTCAAACTACTTTATAACCCTCATTTAGTCCTAATTAGTAGTTGTTCACTCTCGTGATCACTTTGGCGTCGCTTAAAGGTCGTCCATAAATTATAGTCTCACCTCAAAAGCAAATAATCGACTTTTGTCGTTCAGTATTACCAAAATATCCATTTTCCTAACAGAGTCACTTCAAATAATCCACTTTTCTTCCAAATTTCGTTTGTATCCGTGAAAGTAAGGGGTTAACAAAATGTTTGCTAAGATTGTCATCGTTCTTCCATTTATTTTCTACTTATTGTCTCTTTTGGGTCAACTATTCAAAATGCTACAAGGCTTGAATATGAGAAACAGTCATTTCTACTGTCCTTCATTGACTTTGCTTGATCTTTGGTACTAAAGTTTTATTCGTTCTTGTTGTTACCTCCTCCTTACGTTACGTTTTTGTGTTGATATAACGTGGTAAATCTTGAAACTGTTCATTAATGCATAGGTTTAATCCTCTATTTATGTACCTGTGAGCATTTCAGTCATTCTGTTACAATTGCTGTCATTTTTTATAACAACCAACATTTATTATCATATATTAAGCGGACGAAATCTTCATGAAATGTCCCAGATGAACACTAGTCACTTTCAAGTCATCAGCGTGATCTAACGAACCAAATATGCTCGGATCTCTTAGGTTACATTCACCGAACTTTTATACATTCTGTTGATTACCATAATGACTTTATAATTTAAATGAGTCTTGTATTGTTACCCATGGCCTGTGCCTTTAGTCAAATACATACACCACTAAGTTTCTTTTTGATGTGCTTTTGTCTGTCATATATTCTAAAGGAATTGGCCTTCCTAATGTTTATCGAAGTCATTCCATTCCAAATCCTTGACAATTTCGAAATTAACCGTAAAATCGCTGTGTATTTACTAGGATCATGTGATGATTGGAAGTATTTGAATTATTATACGAACTTAGAATCCCCGAAATAACGTAACTAAGGAAAAATAAAATTAAGCGAACACGAACGAACGTATTGTATTCGGAAATCAAAATCAGGCGGTCTAAGGAATCATTAGTTCATACAAACACCCAAGATCAACTTCTCTCAAGAACCATATAGAGTCTGGGTTAGTGTTAGTGAACACCATCCGACTGAGCACAAGCTTTCTTGATCAGGATGCCAGTTTATAAATCCTCTGTTTAACGTGTGTTTTGGAATTGAAACTAAGGCTTTCTACTGGACTCGTTAAAAGATTACAGTGATACTGATATTTTAATTAGCCCTAAAAAATAGTGTCTTTACTGTACTGCTCATTGATTTTTTAAGTTACTGCCAACCGTGAAGTCCTGATTGGTGCTACTATTCAAAATAGAACTTCGATTGAAACACTGTCTGGGAAAGTTTTCTGAATTGATCTATTAAAGCAAGGGATATGGCCCCCTCGAACTCTTCTAAATTACTGAATTTCTCACACTGAAGTTGCAGTCATTTGTGATAAAATTTCTTTCCTAACCTGGTTCTAATGCAGGATCTTCTTAATATTCTTTAGTAAACCCAAAATATCGAGCATGAAAGTTATAATCTCAATTTGTTACTTGGGTTATTAGGAATTATGTGAACAGTCTATTCAGCGAGGCATTGTCTGTCATATACCACAAACTAACCAACCATAGGATCAGCAACTGAGAACGTTCCTGTGAGTCAATGAGGTGTTTTTCAATGCAGACTAGCCATAAAACGCGGCGTTTATTGCCCATGTTCAATTAGGCACTTTAATTAGCAAGTGCCAATTTTCTTTTGTTTATTAACATATCTAGTTACAGTCACAAATACACAGTATGTGCGTGGTTTGCACTAATAGACATAATAACCCCCAGAGCTCTATTAGATTACATTTTAAAGCATGTTTTTCATCATTTTCATGCGAAAACGAAGTGTTAAACGTAACTAACTAAGTCTTAAGTTCAATAATTATAGTCATTTGTAGCAAATGCAAGTCAATTCCTCGAAAAACCTATGTATCAACCATTCAGTAGCTCAATGATACTCCTCAAGACCATGTTAGATGGTATGGTTTTATCCAGCTACTTATGACCCTAATATTTGACACATAACATGTGAGGCCGATTGAGAGATATCTTACTTTAGCATTTCAAACAGGTATCTATGTTTTTGGAATAAATATTATCCTTATACATAAAAATACTCCATAAAAGAACAATTTAAATCATATTATATCTGTGCGTACGGTTACCTATGTATGGCTAACCTGACTTGATAATTGTAAAATACTAGTGATATATTGTTATACTGAGTATTTCGATAGTTTCATTTTGTCCACTTAGTGACTAATTGTACTTCTGTCGCTTTCTCACGATCATGTTACGGTTTATGTATTTATCATTATCGTAAATATTGTTTGTCTCAATAACTATGGCTATTTGGTGAACCTTTATTTCAGCCGTAATTTAAAACCGATATACGTTTTGAGTGATAGTGAATGAATCTCCAAAAAATTATATTTGACGACCTCGACAATTTACACTCAAAATTAGACATTCTCATCAGATATTCCAAGAATGGTTTCCGTTTGGCAAATGTGCTTACATTTCGTACTGAGGTGAGTTTGGTATTCGTGACTATAACGACACTAATTTGGGCTACTTTGTTAACCATTTCCGAATTATTTTCAAAAAATACTGATAAATGTTAATGGAAACCAGTTTTCAACCTTTGAAATCCACTAAATAGTAATGTAGAACCGAAAAATCTACCAAATATACTCATTAGTTAAGAATAGACTATACTACCGAAATGCTCAAACTGGTATATAAATTTCTACGTTTCAGCTGGTAGTAAGCTTCTTGTGTTGCAAAAAGATAATCCCGAAATTATTCTCTCCCCTAGGTTTTTGTAAGATGAGAGAGACTGTTAAGTGCGAATCGAAGAAAAGGGAACGAATTCATTTTAGGTTATTAATCACAAGATAATAACTTTCAAAGATACCGACGTCATTCATTGAAACGACTGATTTTCGACATTAACAACTCAGTGCAATGTTAAAGACTCGAGTAATATTAAATTCAAGGCTTACTGCCAATGGAGAGTTTCTTCATGTTGGCTTTTACGGCTTGACATCTAACTCAGCTTTTCTCAAATCCATATATCTATTATGTATTCTCGAAACGTGACGAGAATTTGCTTATAGTGTCTAACAAAATAACGTACGGTTCAGCTGTCTTGTGAGTGATTGGGACCTAAAACTCCTCAAAACTCTAGCCAACTCTGTGGCAAATCCGAACCATCCGACGTCACTGAAAGCATCCATCCAAATAAATAAACTCTATCCATCATCTGTTACTTACTGTGTATTTTTATCTTCTTAGGAAACTCCTTGTTGCTGCGATGATTGCTTTTTAATTAACCGAATAAAATTGTCATGTAATTTAATGACAAAAGGTTTTGGCTTAAGCATTCCAAATTAAAAATCCAGTGATCACATTTGCTATATATTTACTTCGATTATTTAATCTTAAAAATTAATTGAATACGTATCCAAGATATTGAGTACCGAATATTTACGAAGACGTTTATTATGAACACTCGACTTTCAACGTTCAGGCAGCAAGTTTGAGTCCTCTTCCACTTATCCCAGTTTAGATGTCCATGTTATAAGTATCACAAGGTTACAACAGTAAAACTATGTATTAGGCATCAGGTGCATAAATATGAGCTTGATAAATGAGTTAAAGTAAATAAACAAATGTGCCATTGACATGCTTTCTCCAGAATTATATATGGCCCTCTTTCACGTTTGAAAACTTTCAGTTGAAGTTATTTCAGGACTACTGCCAAAGAATCCTGGGACAGATTGAACTATGGATAATAAACTTTTTGTACACCAGTAGTCCGTATAAAGAAATTAGTTTTTGGATTGAAGACACCAGTGATTTTGGAAACTCTTTTGAGGTATGTGATGTGGAGTGGCTTTTATTTAGTAGTTAGTTTGTTATAACTGGCAAACAGTTGGATGATTTTTTCACGTATTTCACTTTTTTATATATGTCCAAGTCACAATTTAAACCATATTTATTATCAGTTCTATGGATAGCTTTTTAGTAGGTGAGACCTCTGATCTATCGTCTACGTTTTTGATGCGCACTGGGGATTTATCTAAACAATATACGAATCGCGGTGATGGTTACGCTAGGTTTGAATCTGGATGATTTATTAGAAACAGTATATTTGAGTGAGACTTCTTAGACATTCCGTATTTAACAGTTTGTCAATTGCCGTATAATTACCAATGAAACTTGCTAATAAAAACTAAATTTTGCACTAATCCACGCTCAGGAATGCTTGCATATACGTCCATATGATTAGTTATCCCATTTGTTTATATATCAAATGACAACTTCATTTATTTTTCCGTGAAATAATGAAACTATTAGTTATGCTCAGTTGAACTGTTAACAATTTAATCTTGCTGTTATTCCGCGGCCTTAGACAAAGTATTCGTTTATATACTATCAAAACATATGGATAGTATAGACGATTTGTTAGAGTTGTGTACCCTGACCTGAATGGTTTCATTGTGAAACTTTCATTGCTCTTCTAGACAGTAATAACAATCCATTCAAATCAGGCTTGACATGAACAAGTTGTTATTTATGTGTCGATAAATCCAAATAACTCACTTCTATCTGGAGTTTGAGTTAATGTTCCTGTGCACAAAGACAATCGAAGCTTCGAGATTAGATCACCAAGTTCAGAGTATGCAACTCCACCCATATAACGGATGGAGCCTGTGTTTATAGTACCTCACCTACATTTTAATCTCTATACTTTGATTTTATTAAGTCCTTCAATTAACTTGTGTAACCGATAGTGCCATTCGGTTATTAATAGTTTATCTGTATCTTTGTATTATAACTATCATGTTTTTATCTGCATCTATACTTGAACACGGGTTACAGCCTACGGACATATTCATCTTACTAGCAAAAAAGCCAGTTACTTAAATTGTTCAGTAATTCATCCGCTTGCTCATATGTATGTGCTTTTTAAATCCTGTTCATTCATCCACATTCATATATCCGTTCGTATTCGCCTCGTGTCCCTATGGCTTTGGGGTCTGAGCTGTACAGTAATAAACTGTAGTCTTTGCTTCACATCATCTTCTGAAATGTATACACCATTGGAAAGTTATTTTATAATGGTTATCAGGACGAGTAATATATGAATGAGGAATTATCATTCGGAAATTTCATTACGTGTTTGCTGATTATGGAGTTCGATTCTCAGTTATTCTGTGCCTCAGTAATTATGAACACAGTCGCTAACTGTGGAATCCAAGATATATCTTTCATCCTATTTGAGATTTGTCAGTTGAGTGTACTCGCATCTCAGTTTCGCTTTTCACACTGATATTGTAACCCGGAACTTACTGCCTATTGTCGGTATTCTGGGCTAAATTTGATCTGTCACTATCGATACATGGGTCTATAGACTTGAGTATCAGTCTTAATATCACCACTTATTCATCCAAAACGGAAATCTAAAACAGAACGCAGAAGGCGTCCTGAATCCCACTGCTACCCACTGTTTATGACACAAACCTTTACAACTGGTGATAAATATAATATGTTTTGAAAATGTTGACGGCAATAGTTGCTCTATGGTCTAATGAATAACGCTCTAGCATTTGGTTGGAGTCTCAACGTGAACATTAGCATTGGGATACTGGAACGTTCTCATGTGACGAATTCCAGATACAGTAGAGTACATTCTAGAAATTGCGGCTAGTTAAAGTGTAATCAATTAATAAACACAGACATCGAAGGATTCGTTCAAGCAGCCCATAGTGTCAACAAAGATTGAATAATCTTAAAGAGAGCAAAAACGAAGATTGGTGCAGAATACATTTAGTTCTGAATATCAACAAAATAAAGATAAATCTTACCAATTAGTATTACTTATGATACAAACTTGGTGTATAGCTTTAGATTGTTAACAGACAAGCTAGTATGTTTATCAGTGTTTCACTTAAAGGAGTAAGTTAAGTTTTTTTTCTTGCATATATTTATTTTGTATTATACTGATCCATTAATATATACGACCATTTTTTATATGTTTTCACTTGTCGTTACACTTTTCCGTTTAAAAATGTCTGCAGAGTTTCATAAAGTCACTCGCTATGTTGCAGAATATTATTGAATCATCATACAAACTCATTTTTACTACAAACATAAGTGATGTGATATCATTTGATAGTGCGCAGCATGAACAAATGTATTCTTTCGAAAATATTCAAGAAAGAATCAATTCTCTACATTTAGATTATTTTTATGAAGTAAGTGAAACTATTGCAACATATTGTTGTCCGCTTATTATTATTACCACAACTTTCATTATCACTGTTATTTAGTTTCGACACAAAGATTTCCTATTGGCTACCTACTGAATACATGTGATATCCACTGTACATTAATAGTTTACTTGGCCAAGTTACTTGTCGTTTCATCTAATATCAGACATTTATAGGATATAAATATGATCATGTTGTTCTAAATGTAATATTTGTTTTGGGTTAAACCAAGACATGACATAAGTCCACTAAGTAGTTGTGGATAGTCTATGTGGTTAGAGGGAGGTATGCGAACATCTCTGCTGAAACCCGGGGCGACAGTCGTTATATATGGCTGAGAATGTTATACGACATAAAATTAAAAGCGAATCGTCTATCGCAGTGTGTTTATTTCTAAAAAAATAAACAGATAAGCATACTTGGTTTAGTTTAAAGCAAGATCGTAGATGGATGTTGAGTTGAAAATTTTATGGTTTTCTCTCACTGCATACGCTAAGATTGCCATTTATATATCCATCTACTGTTTATAGAAGTGTGGACTTACTGTCTTAGGATCCGAATAACAACTGCTTTCTTTCAGTCTGTTGGCTATAATCAATGTAGAGCCTGGCAAAAGTGCTTGTTCTCCTAAGTCGCTATATCACCACAAGATAAATATCAAAGAAGTCTAAGAAATTTTAAAAGTAGTAATAGTGAGAAATACCAAACATTAAGAATATGGTTTGACAAGATAAAATGAAAAGGTATGTATGAAGAAATACTGAAACTCATTATCTAAAGTGAGATAAAGAGTGAATCCACCTCTCCCAGTGTGAATAATTCTGAGCCATTCCACCCAAAGGTTCCAACCACTGATCGTGGTTATCGTAAGGACTCTAACCAGATATCCTTTATTTACTAGCGTAACTCGGACCTCCAGTCCAGAAATTCCATGGACTAATACCACGTTTTGTTTTAGCTCCTTCTTAACTTTCTTACAACTTACTCCTACACCATCAAACGTTTCCCCTAGAGGTAGTAGTAGTAGTAGTAGATACACGTAACGCATATCCAAATCTCAGCTGATAAAGACTCGTAACTTCATCAAACGACCTATACTTAATACTTTGTATCGACATCGTTCATTCGGTCGTTCTATGATGCTCAAATTGTTCTTTAATGGAACTTATGACCAAAAGTCTACAGCCTACGTATGTCCTCAAATTTTATAGACCGTGTTTTACAGTCATAGAGTAACATAGAGCGGACTTCTGCTCCGTTGGCTTCTCTCTGGTTGCCAGGCGGCTATCCATCATCCGTCACAAACGATGGGAGTTGGTGGAGACTTACGGTTGTATCCCTCGGAAATACGCTAAACTAGTGTAGGTGAATTTATTTTGTTTATGTTTATTTACGTCCTAAATACGATATGACGGTAAATGCTTGATTGCCCGATTTTATTTACTTTTTACTTTCAGTTTCTTCTACTGTTATTCTTAGTCTGTTCACTACTTTGCTTTTCTTTTTATCGATTTCCCGTCGATTTACTAATATGAAGTGTAAACACAGAAATCGATATGCACTTGTACCAGATCCGACGATGTTTTCCTGACATAGCTGTTCAAATTATCATGCCAAAGGGCATGCAAAAGAAAGAGGTAGATCAGATTTGCAAGACAGCTGTATAAATAAAACATCGCCGATATGAAAAGGAGATAGCTTCAAACCACTCAACTATAGTTATATCTCTTGACACTGAGTCGACATTTAGCTCTGCTGACTGATAGGTTCTATAACAATGTTTGTCATTAAAAGTCGTACCAATGAAGTACAAACTTGTAAAGGCTCTCTACTTAGACACTATCAATCTAGTTAGAGCTTATGGCAAACTGTTAACCTCAAGTGTTGTCTATCAAAGTGACCCACCTTCCCCAGTTTTATTCAGTCTCGTTGTCAACGTCTTCCTAAAATTAACATTTTCCTTAATTGCCTTTTCAAAGGATTGATCACTAGGAGTTTCGCTCGCTGACTTAACATACGCTAGTGACTCAGTCTTATTTGGTGGATGTGCTAACAATATCCAGTCTTTTAATCGCCTTGATCAGCAGTGCTAGCATGTTTGGGATGAACTTCCTTCCCTCTAAACCTATAAGACACAAAAATACATTTGTCCGTTAACACATACGTAAGTACTCCTAAAACCGAAGGCGAAACTTTTAACATGAAGAATAATTCCTCATTTTCGTAGAACGCCCTGTGAAGTTCTAGAATGACAGTGAGATTTTAATAGTTAACTTCTCAGGATTTATTAGCAAATCAGTAGCTTTAGTTCCGTTCTTCCAGAATAGATCAAGGATTTCATCATTTCAGGATAGATATTATTATTAATAAGAGGCTTTTTTGTGGTAATTAGGTCTAATCCTGTTTAGTCTTTGCCTTGTTACTACACGATGTTTCAAGTGGATGAGGTAGATTTTAAAAAAATACGGGCTATCTCTCCTATGTCAAGTGTATATATTCACTTGATGATAATTTTCCACAGTAAACCTATTAAGTGCAATGTATCATAACTGTTTATATTTATTTGTGAACTTGTTTACTCTCGCGGATCATGTTATAATGGCTCTAATTTTTTTCTACTTAAATTCGCATACTTTCTAACTTGTATCTTTCTGGTATGCTGGGATTTTCTGATGAATTTTTCTGAATTAAACATAAGTTATTCAAAGTTAGTATACGTCAATTATTTAAATACATAGAATACTTTGTTCTTGAACCCCTTATTTTTTTCTGGAAACATATATTCCTAGTCTAGTGTAGATGTTATTAATGCTTCTCAACCCTGAATCTTATACTGATTAGGTATGAATTAGGATTTCATATTTTGGAAGACGTGAGTGGGTTACGGCTCACTAAGTTGACATTTAACTGATTAATTAGGAGGGAAATACAATAGGGAAATGTATGAAATGTTTCTTTCAAAGTTGATAGTATCTGGAAGTTTTGTCTTGTATATTTCTATTTCAGAAGTCTAAAACCGATGTGATTAGTTCAAATAGAAGGCGATTTCATCTTCAGTATACAAACCTGATAGAAGCATTGGATTTGCACGATAACTACAGTAGTTCTCCTAACTTGTTTTATGGAAATAAGAACACAACAAAAACCTCCGAAATAGATTTACAGTACGATGGCTATATTTCTAAGTAAGTTAGAATATATGGAAGAACAACAGTGTGTTTACATTCTTTTTCTCAAATAAAACTATTGATCAACTTGACTATTTGAATTAAAACTTCTGCAGAGTTCATTTTAGTTGATCTCCCAAACATATGGGCTAGTTGTTCACCAAAGACTATTCTTCCGTAATCACTGAATGTTATACTTTGTAATATAGTTATAAGCTATTAGTATCAGTTTGATTGAATAATCAGTGTGGAAATAAATGTATTTCACTGATCCTTACATGTTTGTTGCATTAATACATCACATAATGGTTTCGAAAGTCAGGGTGTTAGAGGTGATTGGTAAAAAGCCCAAGACCTAAGAGGCTCCTCAACACACACACACAAACAACATTACCCTAATTAGTGTACCAATCTCGTTCATGTTCTGCAAATTCCCCCCTCTACCTAACGAAACCCACTGTGAATTTTCCTTTTGTATTTAGTTTTCTAGCTAGAGGTTTAACATGGAAAATATCAGTTACACTTTACGCCCACTAAACTAATTGTTTACTCCTATATGTCAGCGTGTCCACCCCAAAAAGTTGATTCAGGACAATTGTATTTTTAATTCCCATTGAAAAATACTTTGTTACTAAAACTGTATTTCACACCGTTCAAGTAATAAAACTACATATATAGTCGCTTTTCAGATTTTTTCTTGTGTAGGAGTAAAGCAGAAATCCAGTACGCGATTCTTTTGTAATTTAATTAGGTTTTCCTTAGTTACACACACTGTTTAGTCATTTCTAGACTATTCTTGCGAAGATAGATTATTCAGACTAAAACCTGCTTATATATTTAAATGTTTCACATATCTGTTTACTTAGTTAGATCTATGTATCATTTTTAAATTCTTACATCGCTTAACATTGAACCAAGGACATTCATATCATACAGATGATATACCGTCTACAAACTATTGTCTTTAAATTCACCGGTAGATCATGGAAGTAAATATGAATTTGTATTGTTCCATGTTTCTTGATTTCCGATGATTAATTAAAAAAAATAATTTGAATCGTTACTTTAATTGCTCGATCTTCATAGCATTGTAAAACCTTGTTTAAATTATTCTTTACTATTTAACAGAATGAAGTATACATTGTATATTGTTTGGAATCTAATCACTGATTTTTACTGGTTTTTATTGGGTTCCAAATTGATCAGTCTTAATTCTGATTTAAAGAATAAAAATGAAATATACAATAAAAAAGATGTAAGTGAATTTTAGAAATTTTCATAAATATGACGATTTTGTTTTCATATTAGACATTTGGTTATCTTACCATATTTTCAAGTAATTTCATTACTGTAATCTCATATACCAATTTATTAGTTTCAAATAGGCTTGTAATCAGGTTAATCCTTAGTTCATGTTTCTTTCTGTTATGAATAACTAATATCTAGTGGATAAATGAAGATAAATTGAATGAAGTTTTAACAATTAAAATGACAGGTATTGGATTTCATTGTTATTGATAATACAGACACAAACTAGGGTCATAATAAACAAATGATACATTTGTTAAATCTCAATGGTCAGAAAATTAAATTTTTAGTGTTTCCCAACCTACTATAAGTTACTTCTTCAGAGAGGAGTTGTCAAATCAATTCAAGTTTAAATAGTATAGAGCAACAAAATAAACTATTCGATACAGCCCAAATGATTCGTATTATACTGGTGTCACATTATCCAGGTTAAAGGTGAGACAATCTGTGAGTGTAGATTCAGGTATATCTAAGTAGGTGTGAATAGTCGGTATTTACTCTCTGAAGAAGTCGCTAAACATCAGAAATTTAATTTTCTATCCACTGAATCATTACAAGTAAATTAAAATGACCCATTATTATGTCATTGAATAAAGAGAATTCAGCGAAGAAAATTTCTTTTTCGATGAAATCATTTACTTAAATTGTGCATTCGTATTTATAGTTCAATGGTAAATATATGTCTACAGAAGGATAGAAAAGACTACATTATAAAGTGGTCCGAGACTTCAAATATCAATTGAGGTTGGAGAACAATGGAAGGATAAAAATAATTTAGGGGTTAGAATCATGAGAGATAAAAATGTCCGCTTGACAAATATGAAGAAAAGTGGAAACAACATAAAGGTCATAACAATAGCTGAATAATAATTATGGAAAAAATTGTTAGAGGATAATAATAACAGATTACGGTTTAAAATTACAAAACAATAATTTAAAATAAGCAAGACTAATACATCATACAGAATGGAATCGGGTCATAGAAGAATTAGAGGTTGGACGTATCGTTTTTACATGCAGAGTTTGGACTTGAACTGGTTGATCGCCAACTCCTCAGCAATGAATAAGTTTTTGATTTGACCTTCCTTCGACCCAGGTTCATTGATTGCATAGATTATTTTGAAGGTAAATTCCTTTGAAGCGAAGTGTTCAGAGTCGATTAAGTGCTCCTGTATTTAACTGGTGATTGTTTTGCATTCTTCTTTTAAAAGTTACGTTGATTAATGTTATGAAATGCGTTTGGAAAGTGATTGCTTTGTGCGGCCAATATAACCTGCTCCACTGGAACAAGTAAATTTATAAATGCATATCGATATGCACTTTATGGTACAATCTTTTCTATAGACCTATATTTATCATACAAATACAAATGTACAGCTTAAGTAAATGATTCCGTCGAAAATAGAATTTTCTTCTCTAATATTATTAAATTATGAAGTGATTTCGTAAAGCATAGATAAACATAAACTTTTAAGGGAATATATTATACATCTTAAAAAATATTATTAAAACACGAACATCCAGTTAACAAGTCCCAAATAGGACGAAACGCGTATCCTGAATTTCACTACCAGCCACTATCCATCTTTGCTTATGATGCTTGTGAATTAAAGCAATATCGAGTCAATACGTACAGTATGCATATATGCCAATAACAGACTGGTCAATTGCAATCCTAAACATCAATGGGAAGTTTCGATAATGTAATAAGAACATGGAGATCATCAGAACTATGTGATTATATTAGCGCAATACATTTCGAACAATCTGATCATACATAATATACATGTTAAGAACATTTGTATATAAAAATAAAAGGTCAACTAGACTGGTGTTGTATAAAAGTGTAAAAGGGAGTATACTAAGGTTTATTGAAGCCTTAGTCATACGAAAATTCAAACCCCCTTTGTGTATTCAAAAACAGTTTGTTCTCACCTTAAAGCTACCCTGGTAATATTGGATTATAAGTCCAGAGTGATTGGGTTTCAAATTGTGTTCACATTATTATTATTATTCTTGTCTTCTCTTACCCCATTTCCAGTCTAGTTGACCTTTTATTTTTATATATAAATGTTCTTAACAAGTATATAGTGTGTAATGAGATTGTTCGAAATGTTTTGAACTAATATATCATCATCACATAGTTCTGATAATCTTCGTCTTCTTCTTATTACATTATCGAAATTTCTCAATACTCTAAGATCAAAACTAGTAAGAATCAAAGATCCAATACACAAGGCTCAATTTAACTCGGCGCCCAAATATTGTGAAACTATTCGTTCAAATTTAGACGAAAGTTCTTATTTAAGGGACTAATTGCTTTAAATCAATGAGAAGATTCAAACAACTAATAAAAAAATGAATTGAACATTAAAACTTATTATTTCTGTTATACAAAAAAATACAATTCATTGATTGATTCAAGTGTAAATTTCTTTAATTGTTCATTTAGTGATAACATTCTAATCAATCTAACTTTTGTATCCATCTACTTATGAACTAAAACTCTTATTTATTGAATACCATTCATAATGAAATCATATTCATTTATGATAAAGACTAGAATATCCAGTTTTATATATTAAAATACTGATCAAAATCTTTTAATCATCAATGTAAATTAATGTAATCACTAAAGTAAATCAATATTATAGGTTTAGTTCAATTGATTTTTTTGTTCCATTTTTTTATCATGAAAATATTGAGTGTGAAATTACTCTAAGCAGTATTTGTTATAATGCTCGGTTTTTACTTCATCTACATGTATGGGATATTAATTTACCTTAGATGAATATCTACATTAGATTCCCTTCCCAGTGTCTATTGTACAGGATTTCAATACAACTCAGATGATCAAGAATATGTGATTAGCCTGACTAGAACTTAAATATATTTCCACACCAAAAACCTGACACAATCCAACAACAATGAACTATTAATAATAATAATAGCCTAGGATAACGCGACAATTTCTTATTCTTTCTCTCCCTTTAGTTATTTTAATTGTACTTTTATTTGTTTGACCTTTATTAATTTTCATATAAAAATGCCTTGACAAGTATATGTGTGACCAGATTGTTCGAAATGTATAGCGCAAATACATCACATGTTTCAGATCAACTCCGTCTTCTCATTGTTCTATCGAAATAATAATAATAAGGATAGGGGAATATATAACTCATCTAACAACTGTCAGACTATCTGCATGCCCACACATCAGTACTACTTATAAAAGTTATATAAGTAAAAACTTTAGGAAATTCAAGCAAATACAAAATACTGTTTTATTAGCAACAATTTGTTTTTGATATACATACTTTGTATTTTGATCTTTTCTTTTATCGAAAATTACTATTGGTAGGTTTGATTTGATCATTTCAAATAGATTAAGTATTGGGTAGATTGTTATCAATAAAATAAAAGTAATATATTTGTAAATATCCTAATGAGTAGAAAAATTAGAAATTTCTGATTCAGTGTAAGGCGCTTCTTCAGAGAATAAATAATCCAACTTAGATTAATTTTGAGTTGGTTATTTATTCTCTGAAGAAGTGGTTTACACTGAGTCATGAAACATCAGAAAATGCTAATTTTTTTACTCATTGAGATATTACAAATGTATTATTTACTTTATTGGTTTGAATTGTTTAACAATGTCATTTCTGAGTTTATTATCAATAAAGTATAAATTTCTCTTTGGTTTTCGATAAGCTTAACTATTCATTTCGAAATATAAATTTAATATTTCTCGCCAAATAACCACTTACTTACACCTGTTACTCCTCGTGGAGGAGCATAAACCACCCACCAGCACTCTCCATCCAACCCTGTCCTGGGCAATCCTTTCTAGCTCTCTCCACTTGTTATTCATCCTTTTCATATCTGCATCTATTTCCCAACGAAATGTGTTCTTTGGCCTTCCACTTTTTCGCTTCCCTTCAAGATTCCAAGTTAGGGCTTGACTCGTGATGCAGTTTGATGATTCTCGTAACGTATGTCCTATCCAATTCCAACATCTTTTCCTAATTTCCTCTTCAGATGGAAGATGGTTTGTTCTCTCCCACAGTAGGCTGTTGCTGATGGTATCCGGCCAATGGATGTTGAGTATCTTGAGTAGACAACTATTTATAAATACTTGTACCTTCTTGATGATGGTTGCTGTAGTTCTCCAAGTTTTAGCTCCATACAGTAGGACTGCCTTGACATTCGTACTGAAGATTCTCAATTTGATATTGGTTGACAGGCAGTTGTCTTGAGTTCCATATTTTCTTCAATTGAAGGAATGTGGCCCTTGCTTTGCCAATCCTCACCTTTGCGTCTGCATCTGATCCTCCTTGTTCATTGATGATGCTTCCCAGGTATGTGAAGGATTCTACATCTTCCAGAGTTTCGCCATCAAGTGTGGTTGAGTTTGTGTCCTCTGCGTTGTATTTGAGGATCTTGCTTTTCCCCTTGTGTATGTTGAGGCCTACTAATGCAGAGGCTGCTACTACACTAGTCGTCCTCATCTGCATTTGTTCGTGTGTATGCGATGGGAGGGCTAAGTCATCTACGAAGTCCAGGTCATCTAATCGGTATATTTAACAAAGAATCTTCTTAATTATTACAAATCAACATTCAACACATTTCAATATTTTCTCAAATATTCATTTTATTCTTATGGGAAAATGTTTAATCTTTAATATTGTCGATTCATAATTTCATCAGCCTTATTTAGTTAGTACTAAAACAAGTATACAATTCTGTTGATTTGTGTACACTGAAAGTAATTATGATTCCTATTTGTTACTCCAACTTTGGATTGACATTTTTTTAAGAAAAGAAGATTAATTAATGATTAAGACAATAGAAAAAATATCATTACTACTATTTTAGAGTTGATCTGTCTAGGTAATATAAGATGGAACAGAAGGTGTTATCATCATCTACTCGTTACAGTGTTCAACCAATTAAGAGTACATTCATTTAAATGATGTTTTGAATGAAAAATAGTGTATATAAACAACTATGTAGTTGGAAAGGTCATATATATCTTAGGTCTTGTGTATATGAAATTCATTAAATCCAAATAAACTATGCTAAACAAATGAATTTGTAGCCAAATTAAAAAGTATATTTATAGTGATCATAAAAATTCTGTTTTAGAATATGTCTATGTCATTTACTGATCATGAATTAGTTAAGTTGATTCCTTATTTTGGAAATCATCTTTTTTTTTAAAAAAAATGAGTTGATGGCCAGTAACATCTCATTATGACAATACTGAGAATCATATTTAACTTTTGTCAGTTTAAGCCATATGTCGCGTTTAAGAAATATATCTTTTCATTAATTCTCATCCTACACAACTTGTTTGCTCAGTAAATATTTCAAGAATCTATAGCTGGGTATACGTTATTCAATTCCTGATTTGTCAATATAGGATTGAGAAGATTGTTGAGTTTCATTGAAATGATGAACCGACCAATTTTAGACCACTATTCAAAATATGGAATCACTGGACAACTGTTTCGTCCCAATGTTGAATTCCTCAGGAGTGCCTATACACGATCTCGTACGCAGGAATTAAATCCAACATTGTTAGTGTCTAAGTTCAGTCAACCCATGATTTTGCGTGGCCGTCTTCCATCGTCTTCGGTAGGTAACTGCCTCACACCCGACACGGTTGAACTTCACTGGTCACATCTTCTCAATATGATTCCGGTAATTTTCTCTAGAAGCACATGATACTTTTTAGTATAGGCTTGTGGAGACTGTTGAGTTTTATTGAAATCGTCTCGATTCAACTTACTCATATTCACATTATCCACCGAAATATATTTTAATGAATTAATAAGTAAAGTTTTTATTACCAGTCAATTAAATGGTCAATAGAACTCAGTAATCACTTGTGGACGTACTGTTCTTAAACTGTAACTAGCTGAAATCATCCAGTTTTACACTCCGCGTTTCTTAAACAAGTCAGCTGAATTATAATTGTTGGAGGTCAATACCTGATTTTCTCGATCGATCAGTCGTTTCTAATTAAACGTTGTCAGATTATAACATCAAATAAAAATGAAAGGGTATTTAGTCTCTCGATCATTTACAATCGCTTCATACTCAGGGTCTACAGTAGATTGGAGTATAAATAATGATTGATAACTGAGTAGTAAACAGTGTCCTTTTTTTCTAGTTTGTTTTAATGCCAATCGGATTCTGTATATTACGTTACAATATGGCCATTAGTTTAAGTGATTCGACATCCCGTGCATTATATTTTAGTGTTAGGTGGCTGGAGGTATCCGGAAGGAATTCTTTCTTAAACTATGTTTTATAGTAGTTGAAACTTGTCTTCAGGCATACCTACAATCAAATAATAAGATCTGCTTTAAAATTACAACTTTTGTAAAGGCGTTTTGGTGTGAATTTAATATATGGACGAATCAATCAGATTTAGGAATACAAGTCTTGGATTTGGCACGAAATACATTCATCCATTTGACTAAATAATATTTTGGCATTTTAGCTCATGTTAGTTCGTGATGAAAACCATAAACATAACTCCTAACCCTAACCATCAACTGTAAATCATAATTCTAATTCCTCACACTGATTCATAACCCTCATTTACCCCGTGTAAGTGGGTGGAAATTCCCAAGGTCACTTTAGCGTCGTTCAAAGGTCGCCCATAAACTATAGTCCTACCAACCTTTTCCTTCAAAACTATTCACTGTTGAATTAATCGTCTTGATGTGATTCAGATACACCCATATGATAAGACCCAAATAGAACAAAACATCTCTCCTTGATTCCACAGCTATCCACCATCCAACTGTGTTTGTAATACTTGTGACTTGTGGTAATTCGCAGAAGATTCACATATACCAGAAGTGACTGATAAATTAGTCCTAAACACTAGTGAAAAATTCAAATAACCGGTACAAATGAGTGATTCATTTTGATAGTTTTTTTGTAAATTTCATCTAATTTACTTTTTTAATTCAAAATTTAGTATCAACTTAATAAATGGACTGGTGCTATTCACCTTAGTTAACGTTAATATTTTCATTAGTATATAACTAATTAAACAACAAACCATTCTTCTTTGTTCGAAATCATACAAAGAATCAAGTATGCTCGAAACATATTCGCGTAAACCTAGACCTTGTTCTAAGACGGTAGTATTAGACAATGATACCTATATTTGTTAATCCGTTTCATTCATTCATTCAATTAGTCATTACTTTACCTAAATTTTGGATAATGTTAGATCATTTTAATAATCGTTTTTTTTCTCTTCTTCTCTTCCTTCTTGCTTAACTCACACAATTTTAAATCATTGTTCATTTTATTTGTTTATTTCATTTAGATGATAGTTATTCAAGCTAATCATAAACAAAGAGTATTCAACAATTTATTAGATCATCTAACATGTTATCAATGTGTTGTATTACTCAAAGATATTCATCTAAAATATATACCTTGTAATTTAATTACATCTTATAATGTTAATTATGTGCATCACAATTTAAATTTAATGAGAAATGATGAGAATAATTATAAGTAAGTATAAATAATAACTTATACATTTATGTAATTACTTCTGTTGTGCACGATTGTTGTTGTTTTTTCCAGATTCCTACTGATGCATTATAATGTTTGATCCTTATTTACAATATGAAAACGAGTTTAAACTTTTCGTAAAAAACCATATTGTTCAATGTGAAAGTCTTGTTTATTTATTTATTCAAACACATAAACACTGGTACAAGGAGGCACCAAATAGATGTGTGTCATATGAATCATTCGGTTTGTGTGAGTGCTAGGATACTATCTGGGTGCCCAAACCGAAGCAGGTAGTTCTCTTTGGGGGGCCGCACACAGAGCCTTTGACTTGCAGGTCTGATCCACAAAGCAGTGGAGCAACGTGAGGAGATGTATTCCCATGGTAGCCTGTGACCAACGATTGGTTCATACGCCATTTGTTCCTTCAGGATACTGGAGCCCATGTGCACCATTGGTTTGGAATTAGGGTTTCCCAACTCCCCTAGGTGGATTCTCCATATCCACTAACCCGGTTAAAGCACCAGACATTCACTTCTCGTCCTCTTAATTTAGTAAACGACAGTAATGTCGCGAGAAGGCAATGAGTAGGACTTTCCCGGCAGCGACCATGTGACAGCATTCCGAGAGAGAGATAGGGCTGACTCTCCCCACTCTCAGCCGTACCAAGGCATTTGGGTGCAATATCAAAGTCTACAAAATGTCAATGTGCATACCATTAATCAAGTATATTGATTGATATACTCCATTTTAAGTTATAAGTCTTGCCGTGAGGACTAATACTAATACCAACTGTAATAAACCATAGGTAAGTGAAGTTTAGAATATGCGACTAACTGACTAAATAACAATTGTTTTCATCTCAAAATTATAACTCTTTACAATTCTTACTGTACAAATGACTTCGTCATATGCTTTTCTTATATTTGAAATTATTTAACTCAACTTAAGATACTAGTCCGTAAGACAAAGAAATTGTTTTTAAATTAGTTAGATTGTTTATTTGACGAATGTTAAACAACTAAAATTACGCTTTATTTTAAAGACTTATTTATTTATTTGAACACATAAATATTGGTACAAGAGGGTACCAAATATATATGCGCCACACAAAACAATAAGAATTCGAAGAGAAAAAGAACAATAACGAACAGTTTAGTGTAAGATAGTGTAATAATAATAATGGTAATAATGGGGGAGACGGAAAGGCACAATCGGAAGAAGTCTTTCAGTTAAGGAAGAAACAACCGTTTTTTTATAAAGAAAGTAAAAGAAGGTTACAGCAGGATCGCCACTGGTTTCTATTCTGAGCCATATCTGATGACGCATCTAGCCACTGTGTTGCTCCAGCTCTCGGACTCCAGCCAGGGAGTCGTGAAGGAACAACAGAAGCCAGCTCTTTGCAGTTTTCTTTCATGCCACGACACCATATCATACACTGACCACCTCTCTGCCTCCGGAAGCCCTGGTATGGCTGAGAGTGGGGTGGACCCGCCCTCCCTCTCGAAATGCTCTTACACGGTCACACGTATACAGCCTGTGCCAGAAAAGTCCTACTCACTGTCTTCTCGTGGCGAGGGTGTTGTTTACGACAATGAGAGGACGAAAAGTGAATGTCCAGCGCTTTAACCGGATCCCAAACCAATGGTGCACATGGGCTCCAGTATCCTGTAGGAACAAATGGCGTATGAACCAATTGTTGGTCACCGGATACCATAAGACTGCATCTCCTCACGATACTCCACTGCCTTGTGGGTCAGACCTTGAGGTCAAAAGCTCGGGGTGTGGTCTCCTATGAAAACCACCTGGTTTGGTTTGGGCACCCGGGCAGTATCACAGCCCACACATAAATAATATATTTTAAAGACTAGAAATTATTGAACTGAATTCACTAGCCTACTGAACTGAAATGTTTATAGTAAGGTCAAAATTTCAGTTAAGCATAATGAAATATATCCTCATCAAGGTTGGTCAGGTTAATTTGAAATTAGTTATATTTTGTATAGCTTCGTTTATTTTCAATACGAGTAATATATTACAATCAACTATGAAAGATGATTTCATATGTAATTTTACAACAACCTAATTATTCGTAATACTGAAAATAATAATGAAAATTGTATCGTATTTCTAATAAAATTCAGAAATTACCAAACATTTGATTACAAACAATGGTCTTTGGAAGTTATAGTCACTTGAGTTGTCTGTTATTCTATGAATACAGCCCTATGAATTAAACAAGCCATGAATTGCTTTCATCCATATAGTTTTCTTTGATATTTGAAAACTCATTCTTTTGTCTATTCGATTCCTATATGAAATTCAATGTTTTTAAATTATCGTCTCTAATTATGAAAGCTCATAACAATAGAGATATTTAAGAACTTTCGTCTAGATTTGATCGAATGGTTTCACAGTATTTGGGCGCCGAGTTGATGTGGGATATTAAAGAGGGAGGATGTATTTGTAAATATCAGCGAAAGAATTTGAAGTAAATGCAACGTTTCACCTGGCAATCTGGTCCTTGAAAAAGTTTCTAATAACCATTCACAGACTGACCTTACCTAATAATTTGATTACCTCACTTGAGAGCTACTAGATAGCTAGGCTAATGTGATGCAGACTCAATCTAGTTTAACTCAGTTGATTTGTGTTCAGTCATTGTAAGCTGTAACTGACTAATGAACATGGATAGACATTTGTGCGTATTCCCGTATATAGTTTCGTAAACTTGTTAATTATCGTTGTAGTGTATGTTTTAGTATGTCCGATAACGTGTCCTCGATCCGAATTAGTTTAACATATTAAAGATAAAACATTGTGCTGGGTATATAGCTAGTGAGTGTGATACAATACATGTAACAGAATCGTTCCAATCGTTCAACCTAGGAAACAAGCCTCTCATCAGTAGCACTTCCGAAGAGCATCAAATTAGGCTGAAACAGTGTTCTTGATTTATTTTGGCTGTTCAGATGAAAGTCATCATCGATAAAAGTTATCACTTATTATAACCCTAAATTGTTTCTCAGGAATAGGATTATTGAAAAGTTGCATTTCTATTTGAAAGTACTTTTATGTTAATTATTCTTGGTTTTTATTCAAGGCAAATTTATTAGTACCAATAATACTGAAGCATTTAGCAAACATTCCGAATGCCTTTGTTCAGTGTTCGTAAAACTGGATAAAATATTTAAGGTAAGCTTCTTCCGTTTTGTTTTGTTAATAATGTGTTGTTGAAATAGGCGGTTTGTAGATATAAAACTTTACTAACTGGCGAAGTTGGCTTGTGCTCATTACTGTGGAGTATTAAACTAGACTAAAAGAGTTATCTGTTCATCAGTTTCCGTATGGATACTTTCGTTCATGCTTCGTTTTAATTATAATGGCACTTTTTGTTATCGATTGTTATCAGTTCAGTGGAAAAACACTAGTGAGACCTATTACACTTTTGACATCAAAAATTCCTGTCTACATTACCCTACCATTCAGAAGTTAGTCAAATGGCCTTGTGCTGAAACGAAGGCTTAATTCAGTTGTAAGTAAATGTATTGTGTAACATTAAGTCACGTAACATCATAATATAATTTATCTGCTCAAAGATAATTTTTGTTAAAAAAAAAAGCAAGGTTCATGCTTCAGCGAAGATGTAAATGGCATGTAAATGATTGCGTCACATCCTACTGTGTTTATCGGTTCCTATTTGTTTGTCTGTGGCTGCATATACATAAGGGGGATTAATCGTGATCCGTAAGTTAGAGCGCCTGAACACATGCCAAAGTGGTTTCAGAAACAAATAATCAGTTAATCCAATAAGAGCAGATAATAAACATTCATCTTCCTCTATTGTTGAACACAGTAGAAATAAGTCATAAGGTTTATCATAACTCAGTCTTTTTGATTTTGTACAAATTTTCAGGTCATTTACTAAGGTTTATTGAAGCCTTGGTCATATGAAAAGTCAAAACCTACTTATGCATTCAAAAACAGTTTGTTCTCACCCTGAACCTACCTTGATATTATTTATTATTCAGCCTGATGTTTCACATTGTTTTCAACATTATTTTCTCTATTAACCATGTTTCCTCTTATCATCTATTCGTCTAGTTGACCTTTAATTTTTAGTATATAAATGTTCTTAACAAGTTTATATGTGATCAGATATTTCTGATAATATCATGTCTTAGTTCATTATTCTAACTAAATAATTGGTTGAGACTTCTCAGCAGTTCTTTGTGTAAATACTTTGTGGGTTTTCGTTTACGCGATTATCATACAATGAATTGTTTTCGGCTTGGTTAAATTTGACATGTCTCCATGTTAGAACGTTAAGAAACTTACCTTCAAAGTGGACCAATATTACTCAGTGAAATATAGACATTGTTATCCATTTATGTATATATGGTAGACCAATTAGGCCTTAAAGATAGATTTTAGTGTGGCCTGTTTATCTCAATTTGAAATCATTTGAATGATAACGTTCTTGATATTTTTGACTGAAATTTGGTCAGTGTGGGCTGTGCGGATTGTCTCATTTTTATGAAGTAAAAGAAAATTACAATACGATCGCCATCGATACCAATTATTATCACTGTCCCCGGACACACGTTACCGAATCTCTGCACTACTAACATGATCTTGAAATCGAACGTCAGCAATCTTTCGGAGATAACGATGATTAACTACAGAGAGTTTCCGAACATTCTCAACTTGGAGAGAATATGTTTCACAAGCATAGACCAAACCTTTCTCGTCAAGGCATTGTTAACCCGATCTTTCTCAAAAAAACTAATATCACGTCAGCGCCAAAGGTAACAATTTCTTTAAACACCTCCGATCCTCACCATACATAAAGTGATCTTGCCACTCACGCCACCATAAATACTCACACTTCCGACTACTTCTAATGGCTCATCATCAAGAGTGAGCTCAGGCACAAGCTCTTGCTAGTCATGTAGATGTATTTTTTTAGGTGGTGCTAAGTACATGCCATACTTATTGGCATTGATTGTTAGCTGATTAAGTGTGAATTAGACAACTTGAGTATAATTATACAGTAAAACATATTTGCATACTCAAGGTTAAAAAGGCTTTCTCCAGCGAGCTGGTCCACACAACCATCACCTACTTTTATCAGGAGCCTTTCTAGAATGTCTTCGTGGTTAAAAGTTGCAGATGAATGGTGGAATTTGACAACCCTGTTTAACCTCATCACTTGAATGGAGAAATAAGGAGAGGCGATTGTATGCCGTCACTCTACCTGAGGTATTTGTATATAGGACCTTCAAAAATTAGTAGATTTCTCAGACACATTCTTCTTCAAAAGATAATCTCAAAGAAGTGGCTTAATCTTAACTTTTAATCCTTGCGTTAGAGGCCGAAATCCCATTTTCGTTAGCTGTTAAACGAAATATGTACTCGATTCACTTCATTTTCTGACATCGAAAAGCATAATTTCCACTTTTCGAAGTAATATATAGTTATGTAAGGATCACTTATCCTTACAAAGATAGGTCATATCATTTAAAAAAGTTAAAAACTGGAGGTAAAATCTCATGAACCAACAACAACATGTAACATCACACATAAGGTGCGTGTCGTAAATCATAATCTGGAAGCTAACACTACGAGCTCTTTCTCGAATGGTGGCTCAACGGTTTCTAGGTGTCCTACTTTCAGCCACTAAATCTAGATTTAGTTGGATCAGCGGGATAGTATCACTAGCTCGATACCTAGTGTGGCTTGAAACCATGTAAATGGGTNTTGTGAAAATCCCTCCATGTATATACTTGTACTTTATTCCTATTGAACGCATTAGTTGTACATTGTTGTATTTTGATTACATTTGAATTGTTAATATTTGTATTTTTGTTATAGTTTTTGTTTTTATTACGCATTCACTAAGTTTGTGTTTCTTCCTGAACTGCATCTGCGTTGTTTTACTTGACACTTGTTCTTGGCGGTAGCCATATTGATTTGTTCCTCCTGTTGTGTGTGATCTATCCAGCCAGGATAGAATAACGTTGATTTGTTGTGATTGGTAATTTTTCCTCATCTTCTATCAACTTCTTTATTTATTGTAATTTAGATTTAATTGATTGAACAATCATTGGTTGAATAGCCGGGTGGTAATATTTGTTTAGGTAATGATTTACATTAAATTTATTATGAATTATAGAACCGCTAGTTACCCGATTACTTGTTCTGATTTCGACGGGAAAGGGCGCGTGTCTAAAACCCCCTATCGGCTATTCTTCAACATCCAAAGCGTAGTTTGGATCCTACAGAAGGTTCATCGAATTCCTGATGGTACTTCGTTTACCGAGTTGTGAAGGATCCGTTCATCTAGGATGTTTAAAGGTCAAAGAGCTTGAGATTGCCAAGCGTAAGATTTTATTGATGGTCCAGAGAGAAGTGTATAGAGAATTACTTAGTGAATTTAAGAACAGTAGTAAAGTAGTAAGCCATGATGATCTGAAAGGTTTATTGTTGATGATGCTTGATGGGTTACTCTGCGTTGGAGGTCGACTAAGATACTCAGATTTCCCAAATGCTTTTAAACATCCAGTAATTTTACCCAGTCGACATTTAGTGACGGAAATGATAGTTAGACATTGTCATAAAGAACAAGGACACATAGGAAGATCATTAGAAAAAGGGTATGGATATGTGTTTACTTGTTTGCAAACATGGGCAGTACATATTGAAATGATGTGTAATTTGATTACTGATTCATTTTTAATGGCTCTATTACGTTTTATTGGAAGAAGAAGGAAACCTCCAGAGATTTACAGTGTCAGTGCGTCAAGCTTCGTGGGGACAGTTTTTGAGTTAAGCAAGTTTGTGCAGCAGTCGAATCAGAAGATAAACATTGAATTGTCAGCGAGGCCCTCATCCAACAGCATGGGTGGAGTTTGGGGAAGAGTGATTAGGCCTATATCACGACTGTTATTGTTGATCACCAGAGAACAGGTGAAGCAGGTCTCCTTGAAGCTTTGGATTAGTCTTTGTTGTTATTAATGTAGTTAGGTCGAGTAGGCGTACTGTTGTAAGTCCTACTCGTTCCTATGGTGTGATATGTTATATAATGAACCATGACCGTAGGCGTCAAGGTAGCTTGTGTGGTATGGAGGGATTTTGGGGACCGGTGTAAGATCCATTTTGAAGGTTTTATGTGTTTGTGAAAATCCCTCCATGTATATACTTGTACTTTATTCCTATTGATCGCATTAGTTGTACATTGTTGTATTTTGATTACATTTGAATTGTTAATATTTGTATTTTTGTTATAGTTTTTGTTTTTATTACGCATTCACTAAGTTTGTGTTTCTTCCTGAACTGCATCTGCGTTGTTTTACTTGACACTTGTTCTTGGCGGTAGCCATATTGATTTGTTCCTCCTGTTGTGTGTGATCTATCCAGCCAGGATAGAATAACGTTGATTTGTTGTGATTGGTAATTTTTCCTCATCTTCTATCAACTTCTTTATTTATTGTAATTTAGATTTAATTGATTGAACAATCATTGGTTGAATAGCCGGGTGGTAATATTTGTTTAGGTAATGATTTACATTAAATTTATTATGAATTATAGAACCGCTAG